TACCTGTTTTCATTTAACCCTCCTGTTTTTCTTTCGTTGTCTACAAGTTTTTTGTCATGTTAGATTATTTCTTCGTCACATCAGCTAGGATCAAATAATTAAGAGAAGTTGCTTCCTATAAATGCTGTAATTTGATTATTGTGCGAAAAGCATCAAGGGTATATATTATAAAAAAATCCACAAAAATTGGTCATGTCGTTCATTCATTTATATTTATAACCTGATTGTCGCCATAGAGTTCCTAACACTGTCGACTTATTGGCGTTTCAAAGCAAACGGAAGCACCCGATGTAAACAAGTACATTTTCTGGTTTATATAAAAATCATTTTGGTAAAAACTGTGTCGTCTGCGTTGAATATTTGTAATGTCTAGTTATAAGTTTTCTAAACAAACTGAACAAATAAATAAAAGTAACTCTTGTATGCATGTGTTCAAAGAGATTTATCTGCAAAATTTGCAGAATTGTCGAAATTATCAAAGACGGCGAACTACCTATGTGTTGCCTGAAAACATCGACTGGCTCATGCAAATATCGCGACCGTATTAGTAAAAAAAAAAACTCCCATCTGATTCGAAACGCCAACAAGCTGAAAGTATTTGGGACCATCTGGCGACAATCATATTAGAACTTATAAATCAATGGATGAAAGAAGCAAAATGTTGTACATTCTTTACACTATTGATGCCGTCTGTTTTTAAAATCGATAAAACAAAATCGTACAAACAAAAGGGATTTTTTGAGGATACTACAGTGTGTGTATGTATGTGTGTGTGTGCGTGTGTGTGTGTCTGTGTGATTTGGATTTTTGATCAGGGCTTAAATAATTTTTCAGTCATTTCACTACGATGTCTGAAGCGTGGCAGTTTATAGCTATGTCTGGTACCGGAGCATCATGCCGCAGATATGTAACATCATGCCACATCATTTCACAGTATCCTGACACCTGGCCAACGAGTTCTAACACTAAACTCCTAATGATGAGTTCCAAACGAAGAATGCTACAGAACATTAGTTATTGCAAAACTTACATCATCTGTTGTGGCACTATTTTTGTGTTATTTATTAGTGACTAAGCATTGAGAGACCTTTCAGCTTTCAGTTACCAATAAGAGAAGGTGTGTGCTTTTATGATTTTTAATGTAAATATTAAAAGATTACCCTCTTCCAGTTAGCATTCACGTGTTTCTTTGACACCAACAAGTGAAGGTTCGGGTTTATCTTTTTTTCTTTAAAGCATCGTCACTATTGAAAGTTTATTGACTAAAATGCCTACATACCAAATTCTAAATTGTTTTTGTTTGCTTGAACACATGCAAATAAGAGTACATCTTCAGAAATAGACGTTATCCGATAAATCTTACTCGGTAACTTTCAGAACATATAGAAACTAATAATTTCCAAGGTTAGCAGGTAAGGGCTACAACTTAGGTTTCTAACACAATCTTGAGCAATTATATTTTGAAAGGTAGACGTCTTATATTAGGCTGGGAGAGAATTAGAAAATATTTGCCACTTAAAAAAAACAGGGAGGGGGGAATTATTCATAACGTAAGTGCCTGTGTAGACATGCGGTCAGCAAACTTAAACGAAGCCAACGCCAATAAAATAAAATTAAACGAACTCTCGATGACGCTATATGTACAGTAGTGTTTTTTTTAAAAAATAATTTTCGGATAAAGCAAGTCAAGTCATCAAACAAACAGTTGTGTAGATTTAAATTGATTTCAATAGTAATACAGTGTATTAAGATATAGAATGCCATAAACAACTAACACGATTACATGTGTGCTCAAGCACCTCAATCTGGTGCAATGAATACCAACCCGCTCTAAAATCTGAACACAATAGACATTCAACATTGCATTTATCAACAGTATCGTTTCCACAAGGTAAGGATATTTAGAATGTATTGGATTTCTTCCAAATGTGGTATGCAACTTTTACGTTAGTGATGAGATCGCATACTAATTCAATGTTCATCATACCATCACATCAATTGAGAGAAGATATGACCCCAGCTTTTTTGTCTCCCCCGACTTAGGTTTCTGCTTAGTACATTTACAATGAATCGTCCAATTGTAAATTAAATGTTGCATGCAGTTTTACACGCAAAAGACCGTATACGACTGAAAGTTGCAGCGTTCCATGTCACCATTTGCAGGAGTTACTGTCCCTTAATGTCCATTCTAACAGCATTGACTTCAACATAATGACTATACATGTTGGTATAGAGGTACCAGAGGTTCGGACTGACAGTCTTTTACACCATACCCGTATTAGGGATTTGATTTTTAACTAAAGTTAGCATGCATTCTTTTATTTACCAGATATTGGAATGAATTTAATTTCATTTATCAGTTGCATATAATATTTATGGATCCTGGCTTACCACCCTTCTAGATTTTGGTTATGGAGCACAACTTCACTAAGGATTGTTTGATTTCAATTAAATTTCTTATGCCCTTTATGTTACGTTATATACTCTTCGGATGATTTCCATTTCCAGCTTCATTCGTCCTGATTTACGAGTTATGGTCCTTGATTTCCTGTTCCCCTTAACAACCCATTGCAACAAAAGTTCAATTTCAGTTTATGCTTCACACAAGATTAATTGAAAAGATACGACATTTTCATTTGACGGAGTGGTGTCCAGTTTTTCCAAATGTTGCTTTCGGATACAAATTGTTATTTATTTTACGTGAATATCATGTGCAACTTTATGTTATTCGAACATTGCATAAATTTAACATCATATCTCCTATACTGGCCAATGACCACAATAGTCTATGCGAAGGCATGTTGTCCGGCGACTGGAGTCTCTCCGCTAGCACAAATTTGTTATCGCTACACGTCCTTGTAATATTTGGAACAATCTGGCCTATAGTTTCATTCTCAGATCAAAGTCATTCTTCGGACGTTTAATCTCATGAAGAAAAATAAAAGAGACAATTTTTCCACACATTCTTAAGTTATCTGATACATGTTATTTTTAAAGTCCTGAGAGACACTTTATTACGCCTGTAACTCACTTAATTCTCAAAAAAAAATTCAATTACTAAGCATTTTAATCTAGAATCGACAGCAATTGTTCATCAAACTGCATTTATAAGTTTGAAAAAACACACTAGTTTTTACAAATCTGCAAACTTTGAATTATATGAAAATAAAATGTAGTAGTCATGCAGTAGCTATAATTTATGTATAAATACTTTGTGGTTTAAATAACACGATATTTGTTTCACTCATGAAAATAAACATTTCTTCAATCGTGTCTCTTCAGGTTTATTAATTTGTAGACTGTCAATATGGCTAAGATCTTTACAACTCGGATTCAAAAGTTTTAAATTGCCAGCCTGGCTACGATCATTTAAATCCGGAATTTGGATTGGAAAGTTTTAGACTGACAATCTGGCAGGATCTGAAATCCTGATTTTATATTGGAAAGTTTCGGACTGACAATCTGGATAGGCTCTTCAAAATCATGAATTTGGATTGCAAAGTTTTAGACTGACAATCCGGCAGGATCTGAAATCCTGATTTTATATTGGAAAGTTTCGGACTGACAATCTGGATAGGCTCTTCAAAATCATGAATTTGGATTGCAAAGTTTTAGACTGACAATCCGGCAGGATCTGAAATCCTGATTTTATATTGGAAAGTTTCGGACTGACAATCTGGATAGGCTCTTCAAAATCATGAATTTGGATTGCAAAGTTTTAGACTGACAATCCGGCAGGATCTGAAATCCTGATTTTATATTGGAAAGTTTCGGACTGACAATTTGGATAGGCTTTTCAAAATCATGAATTTGGATTGCAAAGTTTTGGACTGACAATCTGGATAGGCTCTTTAAAATCATAAATTTGGATTGCACAGTTTTAGACTGACAATCTGGATAGGCTCTTTAAAATCATGAATTTGGATTGCACAGTTTTAGACTGACAATTTGGATAGACTCTTTAAAATCATGAATTTGGATTGCACAGTTTTAGACTGACAATCTGGATAGGCTCTTTAAAATCGTGAAATTGGATTGCAAAGTTTTAGACGCCTAAAAAGCTGATTTAAAGATGGAGAATATGACTATACTACGGCTACGAAAGTTATAAAAAGGGAAACAGATCAAACGAGAACCAAATAAAATATAGTAAACGAGTTCAGGGTTACATTTTTGTAGGTCTTGTTATTATTATTTCTTCTGTGTAAATCGTAATGGGATGAACCTAACCCAATGGTTTTGAATAATATAAGGCGCTAAAAAAAATGCACTCTCAAGTAACGCTCTACACAAAAACGAAACCCGGGCACATCTTAGTTCACGTGTAATGTATAATCCTTAAGAATATACAATTCTGTGACACTGGTTGCAATAGAGATACAAAAATATTTTGAGATTAGCATAACCAAGGCCAGATTAAGGCCTTTGAGGGCCCTGAGCACAGCCAAAGTAGGGGCCAATTGTTATCCTATCCTGTCCATATATGTGGTTACAGTCCTATTAACAACACTGCCTGTGAAATCAGACGATAATATACGGGTCCCCTTGAGCTTCGGGAACCCTACCTGTGAAATCAGACGATAATATACGGGGGCCCTGGGCACGTTGCCCAATTTGCCCTATGGATAATCAGGCCCTGAGTAGAACTGTGTAATATGTTGGCAAGGTGATGATAACAGACTCTGAAGCAGGTTGCTCAGTTTTGAATCAACTGAACTACCTTTGTTATATGTCTAATACTGACAAGCAAAACAAGATCCGATTATACATTTTTCATGGAAACTGTATTTTTTTTTACATCCAACTGAAAAATAAAAACGCTCAAACATTGATTATGTGCGCATCGTATTGTGGCTTAAATTGAATTTCGTTCTTTAATTAGTCTTGCGTATTTAAAATGTTTCATGTCCAGTAACTAAATGCGTATTTCGGTCATTCCTAAGGGAACTAGCATTTAATATTCGAAGGCATGTGAGGCTATATTGTTTGTTTTGTTTCAGGACTGCAAAGATGGCCTAATGGTTAGAGTGCCAGCCTCGAATGCAGGAGGTCGCGGGTTAGAAACCCGGCCGAGTCATAACAAAAGCTTAGAAAATGGTACTAACAGCTTCCTCGCTTGACGTTTTGCATTAAGAGGTTAATGTTAGGACTGGTCGTCCTGGCGTCAAGATAATGTGACTGGGTGGGACATCATGCTACATGTCTGCGGCATGATGCCCCATTGCTAGACATCATTATAAACTGTCACACTGCAGACATCGTAGCGATATGGCTGAAAATTGTTAAAGCTTCGTTAAAAATCCAAATCACATACACCGTTTTGTTTCGTGGTGAAGAAATAGAAACGGCTCAAATAGCATGAAGAAAATACTCGTGCTCTGATTTATAGCAAATCAAAACTGTCATATCCATTATATTTGTTTAAAAACTATATCATCAGGTATAAGGAAACAAAATAACCCTGCTTCTGAGAAAATCTCAGCCTTTCCCGTCCCCCATACCCACACACCGAGAAGTATGCGGTCGGTCTCACAGGAGTGTTCGATAAGGCCTTATAAACTATATTCTAAATATATATCCTGTGCAACATAATTGTATATTCCAACATGTCCTTGAAATCAATGTGCTAAACCGAATAACACATATACGTCAGTTGCATACCAATGTTGAATTATTGACACGAAACTGTTCTGAATCGACCGATCTATGAAAGGAATAGATTGTAGATTCTGTAAACAATCACATGCATAGTCACTGACACTAGAATCTTCCAACTGTAACTTGATTGAATGCGCCGAAAGACTTTTGTTTGTTACGTGCTTTATTAACTGTATTAAGTAAAAAGCGTTGACTCTGGTGTGTCAGCACGCTATGTAACAGCAGGTCATAGTCTAATGCGGAGTCACGGTGGCTCATTGATTATGGTGTTCAAATGAGGGCAATCGGGGCATCTTTCATCTGTACCATCAAATCGAAAAAGAAACCTCAGATGCACTAGTAATTCGTCGCCATTTAGACATTTATTCAAAACTAATTTTGTTACCATGGCACGATATTTCGGCAGAAAAAGACAAAGTCACGATCGGAACATTATTAACCTTTCCTGTCTCAACATATGTTGTGCACTCTGTTCGAGCCGAATCACCAAGCCAATCAAATTTATATGAATTCGTACAATAGGAGTATGGGTGGCTGACAGAAATGGCCCAGTGGTGTTGTAATTAGATCCGAAGGGTCCGCGTTCGATTCTCACCATTAGATCGGCCTCGAACAAGACTACCTTAGTGTATCCTTGGACAAGGCACTTGACTCTTCTTGCCTCGGCGGGATATAATCTTAAAAGTGTTGATATGACCTAGAAACACCAAAATCACACCATACTATCTATATTGTTAGTCGATGGAAGCGCATCGTAGATCATCAAATATAACACTTTAAAAACAACAAGAGTAAGATCCAGGCAAATGATGTAAAATGCAAATAACTGGACAAAAATGTTGAATTTTTTTCCCCCACAAAACAGTCTAAATTAAATGTCGGCATCATGAAATGTACCGCAAGCATTTGTAATGGTTGATACATCTGTGCTCTTAAAATTTTATCCTCTTTCAAGTCCTTTTATATAATTCATTCAATTTTTAATGTTGAAAACGGGGTGGGGAGGATTGAAGTTACAGAAAAAGACCTTTTTACAAAATCCATAAAAGTGAGTAAATATATTTGTTTAAACATAGACTGTAACAAGATGTAAACATGGCAAAAACAGCCCATCTTGTTGTCATGTGCCCTGGGTTTTATGTTAGGGGAAGAAGGCAGGCATTATTTGAGACGGATTGTTATATTTGTTAATAAAATGCATCAAAGACAGGTAATATGACCCACATATTCCATTAGCTATCTTGATATAATATGGAATCGTTCTTCTTTATCTCTGAATACAATTAGAAATCTGCTCAGAAAATCAAAAGTGCCGTTTTCTATTATGTCCAACAGCAAAAGCGTTATTTTTTTCTTCTGAGTATCAGATATCTGTTATCTTTCTGAATCCAGTAACTATCATACACATATTCATTTAATTCTTGTTGGAGCGGGGTAACGCCATTTTTCCGTGCATTATTAACTATATATGGCGTTCAGGATATCCGGTGGAGGATATCCTAGTGTTACATACCCACAATGACCGAGACAGAGACTGGAACCCACGCAGACTGATGTGAGATGGTAAAGGCGAACGATTTGTACCACTAGGCCACGCGGTTCCCCGATTAAATTCATCATAAATTACACGTTTTTCACCCAGTTTTTTTTAAATACAATTTTCAGTATGTACCCAAATTTTGACACTAATGCACACTAAGTAAGTGTCAACATAAAATACTTTATTTTTTTAATGCCTACAAGGCTGGAGAATAGGGCATTATTATATTTTTACTCTGCGCATGTGTTGTGACCCAAATAATATAAATTTTGTAAACTGGATCAATAAGTGTCAGATATTAGTTAGGCGAAGACAGACTAAAACTCTCTCAATATATTATTGTCTTCTGTCAATATATTATTCTTATCTTGTCAAGATATTGTTTTATCTCAAGATATTATTCTTATCTTGTCAAGATATTGTTTTATCTCAAGATATTATTCTTATCTTGTCAAGATATTGTTTTATCTCAAGATATTATTCTTATCTTGTCAAGATATTGTTTTATCTCAAGATATTATTCTTATCTTGTCAAGATATTGTTTTATCTCAAGATTATATTCTTTTCTTGTCAAGATATTGTTTTATCTCAAGATTATATTCTTTTCTTGTCAAGATATTGTTTTATCTCAAGATATTATTCTTATCTTGTCAAGATATTGTTTTATCTCAAGATATTATTCTTATCTTGTCAAGATATTGTTTTATCTCAAGATTATATTCTTTTTAACCTTTTCATGAAACAACTACGGTATAACAGCGATGAGAGCTATGAATGATCGCCTTAATACTGTGTGCTGCTCCCAATGAACGTTAAAATACATATTTTAAATAAATAATGTTGAGCACTTTAAAATATTTTTCCAATATCAATAGAATATAAATATATAATACTAAATGACGTGATGATATTTCCAAACACGATTTAGAAACTTTAAATTAAATTTTATGTGATTACATGCAGAGGTATTCAGGGAAAATCAACATCTACTCAACACAGATAAAATTGTGTAATACAGATTCAGAAGGCAAAGAATTAAGTTGCCTTAGTAAAAATTATTCAAATTATGCTGGTTTTTCTAATAAATTCATACATAACGTTTAAAAGTACCTTTGATTTTCAAATGATCCGTAGGCCAAATAAAAAAAAGTGTAACAAAATCACAATGATCTGTATCTTGCACCAAAATTAGTAATCTTTAAAAAGTTTGTTAACATTCTCAACAGTCTTAAACAGGCTAAATAAAGATATATAGCATTGACAATGGTTAATGTAGTAAATAACACAAATAACGCCAAGTAAGGCATTTCTTTGTGAATTTTCTGCTAGACTCCGATTGAACTACTTATAATATAACGTTCAATGCCATGTTGTTTTTAAAAATTATGGCATGCTTAAATTACAATCCAGGGAATAAATAAAAGGGACAAATAGGTTACCAAGACTAAAGTCCTTTAGCTTCTTGTGGGTGAGGAAACTTGTGCGCGCGCGTGTATGTGTATGTGCATGTGTGTGTTTGCCAATTCTAAATATTTGTTTAGCTTCCTGATCTGAACTTGATATATTGGTACTGTAAGGAAATTAACAGTTATGATTTTTCCCTACGTGTACCTAAATATGTCTACAAAATCCCCCGAGAACATAATTACCCCATTCCCTCTTAAGAGAAGCTATTAGTGTCAGTGTCGCTTTTCATTTATCTCCAGATCTTAATTGCATACATCTAGTATATTGTGTTCATCTTGCTAACTGATCTCTTCTGCCAGTCAACCTTGTTATAAGCCGGTATTTATCAATTTGTCCCCTTTTGGGGGTCGTTAGATTCAGAAGTGAAGATCCTAAAGCATGATATTTTGACACTTGTGAAGAAAAAAAAATTATTTCTACGTATTTTACCATAATCTTTGAAAGTACACTACTGTTTTATTTTTCATAGTTACCACAAATTTTAGTAAAGATGGTAAAATAAAAGTAGCAAAGATACTACAATATTCTCAAATTTTCTCCCTGTGAACAATACGATAACGAATTGCAATTGCTGTGGCAAGAATTTAACGCAAACTTCTAAAGATTTGCCAAACCACGCCATTCTTAAAATCTATCGTCGAATGTTTTCATTAAATTCGGTTTCATTCTTTTTTCAAGTGCAGTATTTTAGTGCCTGTCTTAAAGTGTTGATCTCTTTGAACCAGTAAAGTGTCAGTCAGCTGCAAGAAAAATTCATGTAAATTAATATCAGCCGTACAGAGAGCAAGAACACAGTGCATTGTACAAAATTGGTCTAAAATACACACCTGGCCTTTTCCATTCACTTTTAGTGGCAACTTCAGCTACATACTAGAGTTCCTGCATTTACTAAACAAACTTTATCACTTTTAAAATCTTCAAATATTGATCCTGTGCTAATCTTCTTGTATCCATTATTAATTTTATTTCTTTAATCAATTTTGAATATTTAATATGTGTAATGGTCGTATGTGACGTCATATTCCGTCTTTCCTAAGAGCTTCAGACGATCTTATGAAAAGTGTTCTAACTTTAGATCCTTTGCAACGCACCGGTTCAACTGCATACCAATGCTGACATGTTAACAATAAAATAGGCTTAATCGTCAATTTTATGAAAGGAATACGTTAGGTTATTTCTGAACGTAAATACCCGGTTTTATATCCCTGGCGCTCAGGCCGAACAACACTTTTCAATTTTATACAAGAAAATACAAGAAAAATTTTGCTTGAACAAAAACTAGGTGAGGCCCGGATACCCTCCAGGTGTAACTTAACTTCATGCGCTGAAAGACCTGGCTCTGTGCTGCGTCTTCTGCTAATAATTTTTTCAGTATGTTATTCTACAGCAGACCATGGTCGAAGCAGAGACA